CCGCCAGTAAGCGGTCCCTATTTATCTACTTGCACCCGGGGGGGCTTTTGAACTGCTAGGTTGGCAGGCGCTGGGACTGAGCAACGGGAGCGCACCCCGCCGCGGGGATTCGAACCGCCGACCTTTCGATCGGCAAGCCCTAGGCGCTGAGGCTTTTACCCACAGCGCCACCCGCGTCCCAATTAAAAAACTAATAAATAGGTCTAGAGTTTTCATTAAGGGCAGTTCCAAATGACAAGTTTCCTGGTGCACAAACACAGAGCTCTTCTTCATTTGTTATGAAGAATCCAGGCACCTTTCTTCAATGTTTTTTTCTTTATTAAAAAATTTTCACAGGGGACAGGCAGCTTAGGATGCAATGGATCTGTTTCAGCTAGTGTTACCATATTTTTCGTCCCATAGGACGCACCTAGTTTTTTGGGGGGGAAATAAAGGGGGAAAATTCCCTTTATTTCCCCCCCAAAACCAGGTCGGGGAACAGCGGGATGGTGGCGCTGCGCCTCCTTGCTGCCCCCCGAGCCTGTGGGGCTGGCCGATGTCTGTCCGGCACGTGGGGCGCTCTGCTTCAGGGCGCCCCTCGCGCCGGGCAGCAGGCTGCTATCCGCAGCGTGGGGAGCCCTGCGGGGAACTCCCGCAGGGCTGCCTAGGCTACGGATGTGTTCCTGAAGCCTGGAGAGCGAGAGGGGTCGGTGTGCACCGACCCCTCTCGCTCTCCAAGCTTCAGCGAAAGCCTGCATTCGCCCCATAGGACGCACCCAGATTCCCCCTTCATTTTTGGAGGGGAAAAAGTGCGTCCTATAGGGCGAAAAATACGGTAAGTCCCCAATCCCAGCTCAGCCAAATATGCGCAGGTGTAATTTGTTCTTTCTATCTGAACCAAAGCTATCTGAGCCAAGGCCAGTATAAGTCCTCAAAAGGGGGCATTCCAATGGCGGGACTGGAGCAGGGGAGAATGGATTTAGGCTGGATCATAAGCTCAGTCACATAACCTGGGAACCCAACACAGAACTCTAATTTAAAGGATCATTCTCTCCCTCCGCCAAGCTTAGACAGAGCTGCGTCAGCCCCACTGATGACCAGGGTTTGGATTTGGTGTAACTTTCTGCTGGCTTAACTCATACTGGCTTGCTTTCCATCAGTTTCTTGTACATAAGATTGCTCACTGTCACATTGCAATATAAATTTTCCCAACTATATGAACATTTACAAACAAAATTGTGTTTGTATTATTGGGCACTGAACTTTCCAGAGCAGAGACAATATTATTCTGGCACTTGGGGAAATGCCATTCTTTCACCAACTAGTGCAGCTTTTAAAACAGAGCATCCTGCGTATAATGTGGCAGCATAAGGATCACAAGCCACTTCTTGAAACTATCAGTAAAAAGTAATACATTTCATTACTTCTGCTCCTCCACCATATCTGCACCTATTTTGTGTATCTTTAAAGTTTAATTATAAAAAATAATGAATACTACCAGGAAGACTACCTAAACCTCAAAAAGTATAATTACATGGACATTCTGAATGGTGTGGGATTACAATTCATCTGTGACCCTAAAAATGACTAGCAACAGTAGCAGTGTTAGAAACTCAGATACATAAGCTAGGAGCCAAATGGCTCCTTAAACTCGGGTTTCAGTCGCCAAAATGGAATGTCTGGTTGCCATTTTTGAGCAAGACACCTCTAAAGTCTTATTTTTCAAATGAAGTACTGATTGTCATTGATTCTCGGTTAAATATCTGGCTAATTCAGATGACAACTTTGAGCTAGGTTGAAAGTTTTGAGAACTTAGAGAAGAAAAGTCACTTGATCCAGGGCCCGTCCACATATATTGCCCCATTCCAACCTCTTTTTCTGAATGGTGACTGATCCTGCTCAGGTTCCATTGAAAAAGCATTTTTATTCCAGAAATTCATTCCGACTGTGCAGATACAATATAACTGAAAGAATTCTACAGGATGTGTTGGTAGTATGTGTGAACATTCCAGATCCAATGATCCCCAGACATGTACTTCCAGATGTAGGACATGTCAGGCACCATCCTGGCACCTAGGCATCTTCACTTGGTCACAAGTGGTCAATTGCCAGGTGCAAAATGTGTCTGGTGCCTGGCTAATTTTGAACACTGATAAGTAATGTTCTAATGGGAAAAGCAACATTTTGCTAATTGTATGTTAAATGTTGTTGTTGTTTTTTAAAAACAAACATCAAAAAGAAGGTACGTCAGATGGTAAACAGCTTTGTACCTGGCTATTTCTGTAGTCTTCATTAACTTATAAAAACTGAAAGAACATTCAAATCCATATGACGTGGATCAGTTTCATTTTCTGTTTTTCAGATGCATTATGAGATAAACAGCCCATAAAAGAATCCAGGCAACTCAAAAGATCCAGGAACTGCCACTATCAACTGTATAAACACAAGAGTTTCACATAAATGAGTGTTAAGCCAACAAAGGCTTCAAATGGAATGAGCACCATTACTACACACTAGCTACTGTCATTAGATTAATCTCTCTTTACCATGAAGCAATACACTAAATATCAGCACCTCCTTTTACGAAACCTACCTCTAGACTTCAAGACTGCCTGCCTCACAATTTCAGTATACAGTGGTACCTCTGGGTACGAACGCTTCAGGTTACGAGCTCCGCTAACCCAGAAGTAGCTGCTCTTGGTTGCGTACTTTGCCCCAGGATGCAAACGGAAATTGCCTGCCAGAGGTGCGCACAAAGAATGGTTTCAGCTTAAGAATGGACCTCCGGAATGAATTAAGTTCGTAACCAGAGGTACCACTGTTCAGTATTTACTGCCTGGCATTTGTCACCAAACAGCCCTGTTCCCTGGCCATGTTAAAAAAATGGTCTCTAAAATTCTCCAAGTCTCAGGATTCCAAAGCTGCTCAGCCTGGTCACATCAAGATGGAGACATGTATACCCCTCTTGCCTTCTCCAGCTAAAAAATGGGAGCCTTGGTTCAAAAAGCAGAGGACCTATCAATAACAATTTGTCTTTGACAGCAACCTGCATGCTCAGTTCAATGACTCCAAAGCAAACTCTTTAGCTACTGTACTCACTCTTCTTGCCTTCATCCTACCAACCCTCACAGTACTTCCAAGCCACATGACAACATAGTATAACCTAATAAACAAAATAACTAAGCTATGCCAAATGACGTGCGGTGGAAATTTTCCAAATTGGAAACATTTTATGAGTTTTATTTTTCCGCAACTTTTTTGTTCATTTCATAAATTCCTTTGTGACAACGATTCATAGAATAGTAGAGTTGGAAGTGACCCCAAGGGTCATCTAGTGATTCTAGTCTAATCCCCTGCAATTTAGGAATCTCAACTGGATCATACATGACAGAGGGCCATCCAACCTTTGCTTAAAAACCTCCAAGGAAGGAAAGCGAGTGGATTACAACTACATGTGCAGTATTAGGCAAACCTGACCATTTCAAAGTCTTCAGCTTTGTTTACTAAATATAAGCAAAATAAACATGCAAAGGTAGATCATTCTCTAGGTTATCCCAAAACTTAGCAATAAAGATGGAACATTTTCAATGGAAATTACTCTATGCAAGTTATCCTAATATGCCAAGGATTCCCCCCCCAAAAAGTACTCCCTCTAACTGCCTATACCTATTCTATTGCCACCCCACTCAAGAATCCAACTCCACCCTCTGTTATCCATGCAAGAGAATGCCACAACTGCCCTGGCTATAGCAGAGCAAAGGTCCCACCTAATCCAGAATTCTGTTGGAATCCCCTGCATCCAATGGCCCAAGAGCCCTCTTCATGTGTGGACACACAACAGCAACACCACTCCAGTGAAGTACCGGTCTACTGAAACAGATGAAAGCACCAAAAACATACCTGGGCTACTTCCTGCTACAGGCTGTATAATAATACAAAACTCTTGACCGAGCGCCTATCTATGAAAGCTACTCCTTGCATGCAGAAAACTGAGCACATGTAGGAAATGAGCACCCAACCTTTCCCACGATATGCCAGCTTTCCTCCCCATGCCAGAAAGCATTAATAATAGTAATAATAAAAACATGGCCCACCACATTACCACCTGCAACCTGAAGGGAGACAGTCTCTTTTCTTCTGTTATTTACACAGACCAGGCTTGTCTGGCCTATGCTGCTGCCCTCCTCTTTCGGCAGAGGGAGGAATACATTACTGTCCCCAACCCCCTGCAATATTGTATTATTATTCAGCATAATTACTGGCATAATTTAGACAAAATACCGTCAAGGGGGGAAATTATATTTACTGTATCTATCTGCAAACACACATCCTCCCTTGCTTCAAGAGGCCTAAGGTCTCTCCCCCATGGAGACCGCTTCCTCTTCCCGGTTCTTCCCCCCACCCCTCCGACCTTCCCCGCCTACCCTTGAGGTGTATTTGCCACCCCCCCCCCAGCACGAAAGCCACCCTAGCCCCAAATCCTCCCCAACGGGACACGCCATACCTCCCCGCTTCGCAGCGCTGGCACCTGCGCCCCCCGCCCCGTCCCTCGCCTCCCAGGGAGACACACCGGCCTGGCCTCTCCCGGCAATTCTCTTCTGCTTGGGAGATCTCGGGGCGGGTCGGGGAGAGGCCCTGTCCCTCCGGGGAGAAGGCTGGCTGGGTGGGGGGACCTCTCCTGCTTGGGGCTCCTCCGAGCTGCGCCTGACGGAGGCGACTAGGCCCCTCGCCGGCTCTAGCCCGGCCACGGGATTCTCCAAGGCCTCTTACGCCTCCGGGGCGGCGTAACCTCTGCGGCGCGGCTAGGCCCCGCGCAAACCTACCAGTGACCCCTGCGGACATTGCCGGCGCTAATGATAAGGGTAATAGGAATGGCTGAGGTGAACGACGACGACAACGGCGGTAAAGGCCGCCGGAGTCGCCGCAGTTAAAGCTCCTTACCTCCCCTCCCTGCCCCACCCGCCCCTCGAAGCCTTTTAGGGCTCCCGAGCGGGCTCCGCCGTCGCTGCTCCCGGAAGTACCAGCCGGAAAGGAAGCGCCCTCCACTCCTCCTCCTCTCGCCAGCCGCCGCCGCCGCCGTTACCACACAACCAGGCGTTGTCCGGAACTAGCCGGCGACCGCGCGGGCCCATGGGACCTGTAGTCCGCTTCTCGGAAAGACTACAGCTCCCGAGAAGCATTGCGGGAGGGACGAAGCCAGGCGACGGAGGGGGGGAAAAGGGAGGCATGAGAGGGGCCAGGAGGAGGGTGGGGGAGCGAGCCAATCAGGGTGCGGGACTGGGGAAGAAGGCGTGGCGTTGACCATGTATGGGAAACAACGGGGCGGGGAAAAGGGAAACTATTCCAGGCGCTGAGAGACGAGAGAGAAACAACCCCGGAGGCGGTGCTCGCGCTCGCTTGCTGCTGCTGCTGCTGCTGCGTTCGCTGCTCCGGTGAAAGGAGCTGCTGCTGCGGAGCGAGCCAGGGGTGCAGCCACACCTGCAACAGCTGCGTCGCCCGCATCGCCAGACCGGCTCTCAGGTAGGCGAGCGCGCCGACAGCAGCAGCAGCAGCAACCCTGCTGCAGCCAGCGCCGCTTGTGCGGGGTGGAAGAAGCAGAGCTGGGCTTATCTCTCTTTCAGCGCTTTTGAAAGAACGGCGCAAGGGGTTGCTTTTGAAAGAACGGCGCAAGGGGTTGCGTTTGGCGGTGTTCTCAAAAAGATTTTTTTAAAAAAGGTTCCCTTGCTGCTCAAAAGAACGGCACGCTGCTCCTTTTTCTTTTATCGCGAATGCCAGATGTTTCAGCCAAACAACTTAAGCCACTTTCGATCTCTTAGGAAATGCCGCCTCGGTTTCGTAGACGCGGCTTGGCGAATCCCTCCGAGGCACTGATAAAGAGCCGCGGCTGTTTTCTTCCCTCTGGTGCCTAAGAGGGGGTATATATATTCTTGTGCCCGCATATTATGCAAACGAGACGCGTTTCCTCAGAAACAAAAGCCAAACTAAGCCCTGCGATCTTTTCTTTCTCTTTCTTTTCCTCATCGGGATTTTGGCCAATGCCCGATTTCTCTGAGTCATTAGAGAAAATGCTCCTTTTACTCGTTTTCACCCATTGCCATTCTCCGTAAGCGGCGATTCACATGTGCTCTTTGCTGGGAGTCATTCAGACAATGCTGCCATTTACTGTAGGAGATGTGCAGAACTTTAAAATGTAACGCTGAGAAGTAGCATTTTAGTGTTCGTGGGTGCGTCTCTCTGTGTGTGACAGAGGCGCTATTATTGCTGCCTCTTAATATGTATCATCTTAGATTAGGCGCTCTTGATATTTGTTCGAGATGCTATCTGTGTTAATTTCATACCTATCTCCTCCTACGGTGCCTTCTGCTGCAAAGCATCAGGGTTTCTCTTAATGAACTGTTTTTAAAACATGTTGGACGTTTTATATTGAATCTTTGTGTACAGTATATTGAATATCAGTCAAGTAAAAGTATCCCCAGCCTATGGGCATTGTATATTTTCATGTCTATTGATAGAAACTGAAATCGGTGGCAGTTTCGCCATTGACTTCAAGTGCATCATTGTTTAGTAGATTTAGCTGCTGTTAAAAGAAGAAAATGAAAGTGAGTTCTCAAACTGTGTATTAAACAATCTTACCAACAATAGGAAAGGAGGTGATGTAGTGATGTAGAGGGGGTGAATTATGCAGTTTTAACAAGCCATCTACATTTGGTTCTCCAGTACACTTAAGGTTATAATTCTCTGTACGCTGTCTTAGGAGTATGCCCCATTCAACACAGATGGGTTTACTTCTGTGTAGAGACCTGGTTGTGTGCTGAGAAACTTGGATCTGCAGCCTAATTCTGGAAATGTTTACTCAGAAGAAGGCCCTTCTGAATTCATTGGGACATACTTCTGGATAAGTGTGCAGAGATTTATTCCTATTAATCAGTGAATCTGCTTTATATTATGCTTCCAATTATATAATCTGCATGTCTCTAGATGGTTGCTAATGCATGCCACTTGCAAATACGAGAGTTCTTTGATTAGAACTTTGGAAGTTTCACATTTCATGTGAAATTGCAGAACCAAAAGTTGGTGTTTAAAATTAAGCCAGGGGAAAGAGAATCGGGAATCTTTCATACTAGTTGCATCAGATCATTGACCCTGTCAACCAGTGGTGATAATGGAGAACTACTCTGCAGAAAATCTGTGTTACCTTTGAAACTGCTGCCTTTGAAACTACTGCCTCTGTACAGTGCAAGTGAGCTATACTTCAGCTATATTGGACAGCAGCATAGTGTGTCATCATTCATCACTTTTCCCCATTTGACAAAGAGTAAGAAGCAAGAACGTTATGAAATGCATCTGAATGTTACACCCTCTTAAGAAGAAGAAAAATCTCCTTAGCGTTCTAGTCTTCACATTTCCCCCTTTCTTCCCATAGTTAATCACAGAGCGCTTCTCAGCATTGTGTTGTGTGATGCTACTTGTAGGCTAAAGGTGAAGTAATCCTATGACAGAGAAATGCAGACATTTCAAGTTTCCCAGCGTTGTGTTTTTCGGAACAGTCCATGAGATTATGAGAAGATTTCAAGTGTTGAGAGGAGCAGATGTTGACATTTTCTTAAGCTTGACAATTTACGCTTCCAAACTGGATTTAAGCCAAAATAATAATAGGAAACCAATGTCAGTAGTGCCTAGGTGAAAATAAAAGATTGCCTAGGATTTTGTTTTGGAAGTTTCTGTCTTTTGGTGTGTTTTTTAGAGATGTAATCCTAAATGTGTTTACTTCAGGCGATGTCCTTATCCCAAACCACTGGTCCATCTAGTCCAGTATTTCTACACTGGAAGTAGCACTCAAAGGCTTCAGACACCTACCTGGTGATACCAGTGATTGAACCTATTACCTTCAGCTTGTGGAACAGATGTACCACTGAGCTACAGCCCTTCCACATAGTAAATAAGCTCAGATCAGTTCAGCAGAACTTATTCCCTTAGGATGCAGCCAATTTATATTCTGAAACCTTTCATGCAGTGGAGAGTAAAGCTCTGTACATCATTAACAAATGTAATTGTTGCCGTCTGTGAAATTACTTTGGAGTAACTGATGAATTGCAGCACTTGGACCGGCCCATTTGTTTTGCTGTACTCCTCTAGAATGCACTGCCCTTTATATTCACTCTGACATTGTATACACCTTGTCAGATGCCAAAAATTCACCTAATTATACAGGCTTTCCCAGAAAGACGAGTTGACCAGCAGGCAATATCAGATTTCTTCTGGAAACTTGTTTTTCTATATCGTATTTACTGTATTTTCAGTGTTGTACGCCACAGTGATAGTTGCTAATATTTAACAGTCTTCAGGATTTGTAAATACTCACTTTGAACATAGCAGTGGGTGCAGCGGTCTATATGCCTGGTCCTGAGTATGTATGTGCACTGGCACAAGGTTTTGAGGATTAAGCCATAGCTCATATTTTGGTGCTTAGATTATGCTTTGTATTCATGTTCCCCACTCCAGCTTTTGGGGGCCCATATCTTACATTCCCACAAGTTTCTGGCTGTTGCCTTTGGTTTATCCTCCCCCCCCCCAAATCATGCACAAATGAGCTGTAGTAGGCATACGGAAGACAGGTGAACTCAGTACTGGTGACACATCTAGAGCTACTGCTTTCGGTCTTGCTTGCAGTTTTCCCATGGACATCTGGTTGGTCACTGGGAGAACATGATGCTGGACTTAGATGAGTCTTCTGCCAGCAGATCTTTTCTTAGGTTGCTGTCCAGTGCCTTTGCATTGGCCAACTTGAGGTTCCATAAGAGCAACAATAAGGAGTTCATCTTTCTGCTCAATCAGGGTAGCTCTGAATGTAGCTACTTCTCTGTCCAATTCATGCCTGTGATCTCAGAATAATGGGAGGTCACCTAAGTCCCGCCTTTCATAACCTCGCGCCTCTGGCTGTTGTTGGACAACATCCCCAGCTAGCATAGCCAGTGGTCAAGGATGATAGGAGCTGTAGTCCAGCAACAACAAAATCCCTGATGGATGGCCCTACAGCCTCTGCACCTCCACATAGCAAAGCCCATGACCTCCCAAAGTGGTCTGTTCCAATGTCTGACTCGTCTTCCAGTTAGGCCATTTAGACACAGGGTGTGTTTGGACATGGGGAATATTGCATTCATTTTCCTGGTTGTAGTGCTAGCATTTCAGTTCCATTTTCTAATGTCCTTTCACACTGCAGTATAACCTGTTGGGTTATGCAGATGCAGCTTTTGGACCCAATATATTGCCATGCTGCAACTAAATTTCGTTTGGCAACTAAACATCGGTAGGCACTTTCTGTCAGTAATGGGTGTTATTGGACAGCATCGCTCTCCCCCATGTTTTCTGCATATGTGTGCTTCTGTTCCCCCATGAAAATCGCAGGAAAGAACTGCATTCTTATGTACCACCCACAGTTCTATCTCTTGTTCTGGTTTAAGGGGACTGCCAGCTGTTTCCCCCCCCCCCTTAGAATCAAATACCAGCGAAATCAGCCCTGCATATACATGTGTCCTTAGTTTCCCTGAAGTGCAGTTTACATCATGTGAACGCTCAAACATAATGCAGAAATGAACAAGTTAGGGAACCATCAGAGGAAATGGAATAAACTTCTGTGTGAATGCAGCCGAAATTTGCTTCCACTTATTAGTTCTAGACTTGCTCTACAAGCATTGGAGAATAAGCCTTCTCCATCTCCTGCATGGCAAACTGCTGTAGCTTTGAAGATAGCATGAAGTAGGTTTTTATTATGACATGAGCTTTTTATAAATTGCTACCTGATTAAAGAACTCTTAGTGGGTTAGTTATATGAGTTTGATTAATTGTGAATTTTGATGACTAAATTATTGATTAAAACTGCAGACACTTACACATGAACAAAAGGCATAGTCCTGAAGGCAGAAAACCAAACTTAGAGGTGATGCACCCATGATTTGTAGAAAGCACTGTTTTAACTTTACTACATCAGGGAATGCCATTTCTATGATGGCAGCCTCCAGCTACCATTTTTGTAAATATTTGAATTTTTAAAAACCCCAGTCCTGCCCATAAGGCAGGTCATCATCAGTTTTCATATTGATCAGCTGAACATCGAAGTTCTACAATAAACCTCTG